GGGAGCCAAGTGCAGTATGAATGGCGTGGGACCGGTGCACAGGCGAAGGGAAGAGAGATGCAGTAAGCGCACTGAGTGATGTGGTAAGTGTACGCAAGCGTGCGGTAAGCGCACGCAGGTGTGGGGTAAGTGTACGCAGGTGTGCGGTAAGCGCACGCAGGTGTGCGGTGAGTGCACGCAGGTGTGTGGTAAGTGCACGCAGGTGTGCGGGAAGCGCACGCAGGTGTGTGGGAAGCGCACACAGAGTGATGCGGTAAGTGCACGCAGGTGTGCGGTAAGCGCACGCAGGTACGTGGTAAGTCCACGCAGGTGTGCAGTAAGCGCACGCTGGTGTGCGGGAAGCGTTGACGGAGGAGGGCGCGCGACAGGCGGAGGGGAGGGCACGCGACGGTCTAAGAAGGGCGCGCGACGGTTAAGGAGGGCGCGCGACGGTTGAGGATGGCGCGCGACGGTTGAGGAGGGCGCGCGGCGGTCTAAGAAGGGTGCACGACGGTTTTGGAGGGCGCGCGGAGGTCTAAGGAGGGCGCGCGACAGGCTAGACAGTGCGGGAGGGCGCGGGCTAGGCGCGAGGAGGGCGCGGAGGGCGCGAGAGCACGGAGGGCGCGTAGGGCGCGGAGGCTAGCTAAAAACGAACGAGGATCTAACCTACTCGTGATACCATCTCAGAATAGGAATGCAACGGAATGACCGAAACTAGAAAGTGTGAGAGTACAAATATGCAACCCTAACAACTGTACTCCCTATTGTGCTACTCATTGTAGCCTACAAGCATAGAATTACATTTGACATCAGGGTAATCATGATATTTTGCACTGAATTCGTGGGCCTTGGCCCTGACATACCAGAAAAATCCTAGCTCCATAAACAATTACCATAGGCCATCAGTGTGACTACCAAAAACTACCCCGATAATCAGGATATCAGGGCGACTTACACTGATAAAATTAGCCCAGGTCTACACCAATAACTCAAACGTTATTTGATACAGTTTACCACACACGTTACCCATACCAAACGTTTTGTGATTTGATGAGGCCAGTTTGTTTATATTCCTAGTGCAGGCCTTTGCTCCAGCTTTGAGGCGCCTACATTTTTTTTGTGCATTTGTTATCACACTTTTGCTAATAAATGGTTGCTCATGCAAAGCAATCCTTTCACTGAACGAATATATGGAATCATGCATTGGGATGGATACACTGCGTTGCCTAATTCTTATACGCGGGGTGGACTCGAAAGTGAATGATAGGGGCTGCGAAGTTTCTGGATGCGTTTGCGTCAGCAGCTGTGGTTTCGATGGGACGAGGCTCTCTGAGTTGTCACTGGCGAAAGCATATCCAGTCGCTAAATCGTGTCAAACAGCAGCACTTGATTTGCGGTTCGTCCTTGCGTCACCCTTTTCAACCTGCAGCCAGCTGTCAGCCAGTGAAAAGCAGTCAGTTGCACGTGAGCGCACGTGAATTTGACCATTACTGTAGGCAAAGACTCAAACGCACGCGTCATCATGAACTTCAGGAGTTCATCAGTCACGCATAGAACAAAGTTCGAAGCCGAAACGACAAGCTCGAGTTGAACTTCATGTGACACATCAACACCGTTTGTACAATGATAGACGAATCGAACAAGTGTATAAGTATATATAGTAAATTGTCACGATTCTACAAGTTATGTTCACGCTCTCCGTGGTACAAGTGTAGAGGTAGCATAAAAGTCCTCAAAAATATATATATATATTTGGGAGTATACAGAATGATATAACAACTTATTTGACACATATGCTAAATTGAAGTTTTATCTATTTGTATAATCTGTTAACACCACAAATATGAGCTGTTGATTTGGAAGTTACCGCACCGAAATTTGAGATAACATTTGAGCATGATAATAGACTTCAAATATGTTTTTTCTAAAAACTTGTTCATTATGTCGCATCTTTATATACAGTTGTAAGTAGCCATCAACACCAGAGAAACTTTTCAGCATGTCAGTTTTTTTTGTGAAAATCGAGCGGGTGTATAAAACAGAAAATACTGGCATTGAATTGTGAAACAAAAACATCACGCTGACAAACTAATTGAGCAAGTGATAAATTGTGGCCCAACCAAGAAGATTTTTCGCCATAATAGGCAAATATAAGGCATTGTTTATGATGATAGCTCTAAACTTCTCAATTTTAATATGCGCTAGACTCGTAGTTTATCCCTTTACTGACAATACTCTTGTGTAAATAATAAACAATAATAATCAATATTATTGTTTTTGTGTAATTATTTAGAGACAATAATTTCGATTCATTATCTTGCCAGATCCAGGTAGCTGTCCGTTGGCGAAGTAGCGGGTGTACTGATTCGAAAGTGCACTGTGGAACTGTTTGTCAAATTTATTATGCGTGATGTTCACCTTCCAGCCAGTCTTCTAGAAGGACAAGCTTCATGATCACAACACCGCTCTGTTGACGTTCTTGGTCGACCAGTTCTCCATATGGCATTGCCAGCTTTTGCCAGCTGTCGCTTTGATGTTTGTACGGTCTGGTTACCAGAGTAGCGATGATAGCCAAATTCATCCACTGCATCACTTGTCTCCGAACTTGATATGTTCAGGGCTAATGTCCTTCTCTGAACTTTTTACGCTTCTGAACTATCCCGTCTGGTGTGCTGCTCGGTGCGGCTAACAGCATCAAGCTTGCGTGCAAGGCAGCCGTCAATCATATAGTACCCAGCAGCCGCGTAGGACTGATCAATTTTAGCCTAAACTCTCCCTGACGTTTGGCGAGCAGGAGGAATCATTGTACGTTCAGACCGTTTGGGCAGAACATCTGGGGTTAAAAGTCTAGGTAGGGTTAAAGGCTTGTACTTTGGACGTATTGTTTCACCTCTGCAAGAATGGTGTACAGTATTGGTGACGCGGTGAAAGTGGAAAATCGATTGCCTAATGATCGTTTTTTAGCGCGGTTCTAGAAGGTTGTGTACATTTTGTGTCCAGAACGCGGCTTTCAGTGCGGTGACCGAGTCGATCTACCCGATCGAGCACTTACACCGCGTCCTGAGTTTGGTGTTGCGACAGCTGTGTCGTCCCGCTTGGATAATGGAGGATGTACACCCACCCACCTCCCCCTCCGTCCCCCTCCCACTTGCTTTCACCTGTGCCAGCCAAGTCCTGCCCTGACTCGCAATTTGAAAGCCAGACCAGCTCTGTGAGTTTTCACTTGTGTTTAATTTGGGTCACAGAGACTCAGGCTAGTTTTTCTACACTTGCCTGCTTTGCAGGGTGATGTTTGTATGTTCCTCCGTGTTAAGCCTGACATACGTCAACCCTACCATTACACCTGTTCTCCGATATTTCCACACCCTGAACTTTGATTCTACTCAGACACCCTACATGGTTGAAGGTTTGATGAGACGGACGCCCTGACATTGCGGGTCTATCAGGAAATAGCCACCAGGTCAAGGCCTTTCCAAACTCGAACTTTGTAGTTCGAGTGAGCGGGGAAAATTCCAGTGCCAGATTGTTCCTGCGGTAACCTCGCATTGAGATTGTGTTTCATTAACCTTGAAAATTCTTCGAGCGTTGCAAACTACCTTCGAAATCGGTTCTTTCGAGGGTAGGTACCCCAGGTCGTGAAGATAAAGGGTGTGGAATTATCGCGGAACATGTGTAATTGCATGTGGGAGTGTCTGTTCAGTTCTTCCGGATCCGACTATAGAACGCTTGCAAGCGGCTGTATCAAATTTCGGCCAGGTCAGTAAACATGCTGCAAATCTGGCTGACACATAAGTCATACTGGACTTCGGCTAAGGCAATGTCATTTTTTTTTTTTCGAGGTCACTGAAACAACCTGAACATTCAAGTACACAAGTCCTGAAGTCCCTGGACACACTAGGAATTCAACTCCTGGGATACACTGGAAATCACAAACTTTCCACGATTTTGGAAGCCAAAGTCTGGTGTATTTCGAGTTGTTTTGAGGCGGAACACAGTCAAACACAAACTTGGGACAAAAATGGCAAAGTGGTTTACAGAATCCGGAAAGCCTGAATGGATCCAGGCGTGGGTGACACTGAGTCCACCCCCCATCTCCACAAAATAGGGCAAGCTCACTCTGTTTGGACCCCCACGTCATAGGGCACGGCCACACGGCTCCGTCGCAGTTTCGGCATTCTACAGTGCGATCCAAGCGTGCAGAACCGCCAGCTTGCATAGCCCAAAATGACAGATTCCACCACCATCGCACTGAGCACCCCACTGTCACCCGTGATCCACCAACCCTCTGTCCCTCGTTCGCAAGCTGGCAAGCCATGTCGCTCCAAGGTCAGCCCGCATCACTGGTTTTCCAAGCCGCGTTGCCGAGGCACGCAGGTGTCCGAAGCGTGATTTTGGCTGGTTTGTGTGCCAAACCTCGAGTCTAGGCTGGGATGTATGGTGTCTGATTTGTGAGTGATTTGGTGGGGAGCATAAAATACACCGCCATTGGCAATGGATTGTCATTGTTCATTCCGCAGATGCAGTTTGCAGTGCAACACTACCGCAGTGAGCGATCGTGATTTTACAAGCGAGCCAGGCAGGAGGGAGGCAGCCAGAACAAATGAGACACCTACAGCGCTAGGGAACGATCTGAGCCACTGGCTAGAGGAGCGAGCAGGAGGAACAAATGCCATATGTGGCCGCGGGCTGGACAGCAAAACTCTGATTCAGTTTTGACAGTGTCGCTTGCCACATTCTCACCAACCCACCACACACATCACTACCACGCACCGCGTTTTTACAGACAGTGCACCAAAACGCTGCGTTTCAGATAGCTGTTTGTGCAATTCCTTAGCGATTTTGTGGCATCAACGCCGTTTGGTTGTTGGAAAGAAAACGAGGTCAGGAGAGCCGACGCGCGCGATACATTCTGAGGCGAGTAGAGATTATCGACAAATTTGGTATCGCAACGTACGTGGCGCAAGCTTTATCATCTGTAGTCACAGCATAGTGTCGAAGATAGTATCGTAAAGGTTGCGGCGATGGCGGAAGCGGAGCAACAACAGCGTCAGCAACAGCAACAACAAGAAGATCATAAGGAAGAGAGCGGCGAGAAGGACTCGGATGTCGTGAAGGGGCCATGGAGTCCCGAGGAGGATGAGCTGCTAATGGAGATAATCGCCAAATACGGGCCGCGCAATTGGTCGCTCATTGCTCAGGGGCTCAAAGGGCGCTCCGGCAAGAGCTGTCGACTTCGGTGGTGCAATCAACTGAATCCCGAAGTGCGTATCTCGCCTCGTCTCTCTTTTTATTACCGACCCGGCGTCGCGTATTTCCTCGCATCACCATCGCATCGCGTTTCCAACTTTCCCTCCGCTGCGTCACTGAGATACTCGCACCGATTGTGGTCTAATATGAGTCCCTGCTTTGGTGTTTCCTGCTCAGGTAAATAAAAATCCGTTCACGGACGAAGAGGACAGAATAATCGCACTGGGACACGCGGAGCACGGCAACAAATGGTCCGTCATTGCGAAGAGCCTGCGCGGTCGCACTGACAACGCGATTAAGAACCACTGGAATTCCACGTTGAAGCGGAAATACCCCGCCATTCTCGCGGAAATCATCAAAAATAGGGTAAGCTTTTCCTCAAGATTAGGGTTTCCTTTTCGGAGAAAATTGCACAGTATGCTGTGTGTTCAGGTGTAATGCTCGTCGTTGAAAGTCTCCTCGTCTGATTGGTTGGCGAGTTGGGTTCGTGTTCGAGAAATGATTTACGATAGGATTGTTGGTCGCCTCAAACCTGGTTACCCTGCTTCAAATGATTTTTTTTTTTTTTTTCACCCTGAATCTACCATTGTCAACACTCAGTGTCTCATCCTCCCACTTTCTCCCCGCCATTCCCCCCTGCGTCCTGTCGTCCCGCCATGGTTGCCCCGTTCCCTCCGCCAGACCGCGCGCGTGATCGATTCGCCGCGCGACGCCCCAGCCAGCTCCCCCAGAAGCGACGGCCGGGTTTCCCCTTCCCCCTACTACTCCGGTGTCCCGCTCTACGCTCCAATGTACGCTCCCGGAGGCGCCGGTGGCGCGGGAGGCGGCGCGAACTTTTTCTCGCACCGTGAGAGTCCGTCTCCGCTTTCGTCGGGTAGCGCGGGCTGCGGAAGCGCGGCGCACTCGCGGCGGAGCAGCATGGACGGCTGCTCCGCAAGCTCCGCCAAGGCGGAAAACGTGCGCATGCTTGCGGACGTCCTCCGCCGCCTCGCCACCGCATCCAGCGGCGGCGCCGCCGGCTCCGCATGCCCGTCTCCTCCGCCAGGCGGCGCGGCGGGCGTCGCTCCTCCTTCCGCCTCCGCCGTTTCAGCCGCTCGCCTAGCGTTTCCGCGCAGCGGAAGTCTCGACTCTCCCGTTCTCCGCCAATCTCTGCGCGACCCCACTCCACTCGTTCCTTCCGCCATGGGGGCATGCGGGGGAACGTTTGGCGGCGGATGGGGCGGCGGAGCGCCGGCGGTGGGGGAATACGACCTTGAGTATCTTCAGGCCGCGAAGCGGCTGCGCTTTGGTGGGGGGGACATAGCTTGCGCGGAGCTTGGCGGAGCGTCTGGCGGACTGTCTGGCGGAAGCGGCGGGCTGAGGGGAAGCGCAGGGTTGGGCGGAAGTGGATACGGCAGCGCCGCCGCCAACCTGGGGAACTTTGGGGGGTCCCTTCTCGGAAACTCCCTCCTGGGGCGCACGGCAAGCGGAGGAGCTGGGGCACTCGGGGGAAGCTCTTTCGGGGGAGGTGCTTACTGCGGGAGCGGCGAGAACTACCTTTCCGCGGGCGCTTTCTCCCCCCTTGGCGGAGGTACGGCGGGGAATTCGGGTTGCCGCGGTTCCCCCTCCCCCCATGGCGTTATGCGCTTCCCCTCCAGTGTGCGGAGCTCCATGGGCGGAGGGGATTCCCCCTCCTCCCTTGCCGCCATGGCTGCCGCGGCTGCAGCGGGATTCGCGCCGCCCTTCGGTGGGGGAAGTTTCGGGGGGGGGAACTCGAATCCGCCCTTTTCCCCTGCGGGGAACGCTCAGCCTTTCCCCTCACCACACTCCGCCTCCCCCCTCATGCCGCGTTTCCTGACAGGCGATTCTACTGCCCTAGCAGGCGCTCCGGCCTCCGCCTCTGCTGCTTCTGCCTCTGCTGCTGCTGCTGCCACTGCCTCAACCGCCGCTGCTGCTGCTGCAAGAAACTTTCCAGGGCTTGGTAGCTTCACTGGGCTGAACAGCACGGGGCTGGGGACGACCAGCAGTGCGCTCGGTGTGTTCCCATCCAATCTCCAGTCTCCTTCCGCAGCCTCCTCCTCTCCTCTCCTCCGGGAAACCCTAAAAGAGAGCATACGGGAAAGCCTCCTCTCCAATTCTCACCAGCAGAACAAGCCGATAATTGGGGCAGGGCCAGCAACAGGAGGAGCAGCAGGAGCAGGAACAGTGGGAGTCGATGGGATGGTGACGCGAGCCGATCGGACGGCCCAGGGCATGTCCCTGCTGGGGCAGCGAAATCTGACCATTGATCTCTCTGTGCTCGACAATCTTGCAGCTCACATGCCTCTGCACCCCTTTCAGCCGCTACAGTCTGCGGAGCCTATGTCCAATCCCGCTGCTGCAGCCGCTGCCACCGCTGCCACTGCTACAGCCGCTACAACCGCCGTTGGTGATTCCTTGATGTTAGGGGAGCTTGGAGGGGAGATGTTGGATTCGGGGGTGCGCCATGCCTCAGTTGAAGCCCTGGCTCAGATTCTTGCAGGGGATATTCAGGCGGTGCCCAATGCTGGTTTCGCTTCAGGTTACAACGGGAATTTCAATGCAGGTTTCAGTGGAGCAGATGCGTTGATGCCTGCAACTGGTGGTGCAGAGGAAGCTGCTAAGGGCTCTGATTTGGAATGCTTGCTGAATGGTCAGTTTCAGCAGCCGCTGCTTCAGCTGCAGCAGCTACAGCAGTTGCGGCAGCTGCAGTTGTTGCAGCAGCAGCAGCAGCAGCAGCAGGAGCAGGAGCAGATGCAGCAGGAGGGTTTAGCTGAGGAAGATTCTGGATCGCTTCTGAGTTTCCTTGCTTCTGATTGGCCGCAGCTGAAGGAGGCTGTGGCAGCAGGAGCTCGAGCATTGAATGCTGCAGATATGCCCAGCTCCAGCAAATAATTATTTTATTCATTTTTGTTATGACAATAATCTTGTCTCCATTATCAGTGGTTATATTATTTGTAAAGATGCAGTTACTGGTAGTAGCTCACTATGTTATAATGCCATTAAATGCACTTGTCATTCTTGATATGTCAGCTATGACAAAGCAAGCCTTCCTTCCATGGTTCAATAAAATTTGCTCCCAAGAAACAGATTTTGGGGCACAATTTTTTACAAAAACTCTGGCTACCCTCCGTAAGCTCCTGCTATCCCCCTTGCTTCCACCCCACCTACAGCTCCTACTGCTCCTCCACTCCCCCCACCTCCACTCCCCCCACCTCCACTCTCCCCTTCCCCACTCTCCACTTCCGCCTCACCTCTCCCCTCGTCCCCCCAACCCCCCTGCTCATGGTGCTCCCAGAAACATCAGCGGCTGTTGAGAACCCGCTCCTGTTACTGCTGCACCTCCTGCTGCCCCCTGCTTCTCCTCCTGCTGCTCCTGCTGCCCCTCCATCCCTTACCCCCCCCCTTTTTCCCCCCTCCTCCCTTCCCCCCTGCCCCAATCACGGTGCTCCCAGAAACATCAGCGGCTGTTGAGAACCCGCTCCTGTTACTGCTGCGCCTCCTGCTGCCTCCTGCTGCCTCCTGCTTCTCCTCCTGCTGCTCCTGCTGCCCCTCCATCCCTCCCCCCCCCTTTTTCCCCCCTCCTCCCCTCCCCCCTGCCCCAATCACGGTGCTCCCAGAAACATCAACGCCTGTTGAACAACCTCTCCTGCTACCCCTGCTGCTCCTGCTGCCCCTCCGTCCCCATCCCCCCCTCTTTCCCCCTTCCTCCCCTCCTCCCTGCCCCCCTCACGGCGCTCCTAGAAACATCAAAGGCTGTTGAGAACTCGCTGCTGTTGCTGCTGCTCCTCCTGCTGCTCCTGCTGCTCCTGCTGCTCCTGCTGCACCTTCTGCTCCTGCTGCTCCCTCTGCTCCTGCTGCTCCTTCTGCTCCTTCTGCTCCTGCTGCACCTTCTGCTCCTGCTGCTCCTTCTGCTCCTGCTGCTCCTTCTGCTCCTTCTGCTCCTGCTGCTCCTGCTGCTCCTGCTTCCGCCCCACCTGGACCTCCTGCACCTCCCCCACTGCCCCCCCCTCCGCTCTCCCCCCTGGCGACAGCCACCTTTCGGCCAATCAGAGCGCGTCTCGTCGCCAGCAAGGCATCCAGCTCCTCCTGTAGATCCCCAGAATCCGGCTCTGCTACCCCACCTGAATCGCCACCTGAACCACCTGAGTTTCCACCTGAACCTTGGCGCTTCTGCAGGGCAGATACAGCCTCGATCCGGGCCCCAATAACCGCCTCAGATTCAGAAACTTGATCTTCCTTGCATCTGCTCCCCCCTTCAGCAGCACCAGCGGTGGCAGCAGAGGTAGTATCAACAGTCATTTCAGGAGCCAAGTCCTGCAGCAGGCGCAGCACTGCCAATCTCACATCCCCATTCTGGGACCCCACCACCCCCGGCTGTAGCAGCGACGCGAGAAGGCCCGAGGAGAGAGCCAGGGGGCGGTCGGAGGGGCACTGCTGTAGAAAGTAGAGCGTGAGATGCAGGGCTTTAAGTAGGAGCTTGGTGGGAGCGCTGCTGGTGGTGCTGTCGGTGCCGGTAGTGTTGTTGGTGGTGGAGGAGATTAATGAGGTGAGTCCTTTAATGCCGACGACGGCTCGAAGGGACGCCAGGCCTTCTGGGTTATGGCGCACCAAGGCTGGTGGTGGGGGGGGAGGAAAAGATAAGGGGGAAAGAGGGGGTTGAACGCCGATGAGTTCAATCAGGGAGATTAGGGAGGTGAGTCCATTGATGCCAACGACGGCTCGAAGGGACGCCAGGCCCTCTGGGTTATGGCGCACCAATGCTGGTGGGGGAGCGGGGGTAGAAGAGGAGAAGATGGGAGAGCTAGTGAGTGGGGGAAATGAGGGAGGTGAGTCCTTTAATGCCGACGACGGCTCGAAGGGATGCCAGGCCTTCTGGGTTATGGCGCACCAAGGCTGGTGTGGGAGGGGAAGAGAATGTGGGAGGGGAGAGAGGGGGGGGGGGGGGGGGGGGGGGGGGTGGTGGTGAGTGGCGGGGGGTGGGGAGGGGGGATTATGCGAAATGGGGGGCATGGGGTAAAAGGGGAGGCATGAGCGAGAAGAAGAGGGTACGGAGCCCATGTGGGGGTTTCAGAATGCCAAGTTACATAAACAAACAAACAAACAGAAAACTAAATCCCCATTCATCCTGCCACCCACTTACGTGAAATCGCCCCCACAGCCATGGTCTTGGCAGTGACGTCAGCATCTTTCAGCAGCATGTGCATGAGGGACAGATGGCCGCCCGCCTCCTGCCTCCTCCTCCAGTCTCCCTCCATCACGTTACATTGAAGCTACGCTGGTTACCAACCCCAAGCCCAACCCCAAACCCAACCCCAAACCCAACCCCAAACCCAACCCCAAACCCAACCCCAAACCCAACCCCAAACCCAACCCCAAGCCCAACCCCAAACCCAACCCCAAACCCAACCCCAAACCCAACCCCAAACCCAACCCCAAACCCAACCCCAAACCCAACCCCAAACCCAAACCCACACCCAAACCCAAACCCAAACCCAAACCCAACTTGATTGACCATTCCCTGCATCCCTCACCTATCCATGCCCCAACTTCTCACTCCCCCCAACTACCCTACCCCTTCCCCATAAACCCTGCTACTCACATGAGATAGCCCCCACGGCTTTGGTTCTAGCAGTGACGTCAGCATCATTCAGAATCATATCCATGAGGATCAGATGGCCGCCCGCCTCCATGACGCTCCGTTGGCTCTTTTCGTTGTTTTGCACCATGGTGGTTACCACCTCCGCCGCCCGCGCTCGCAGGATGGCATGGGGGGAATTGAGGAAGCGCAGCAGCGGCTCCAAGCCTCCTATGGCCTTCAGGTCTGGTGGGTGAAAGGGGACGGGGAGAGAAGGGAAGTCAGAGAGGGTAGAGGGGGAGAGAGAGAGAGGGATTGTTGGTAGATGCAAGTCAGTCGTCTGCCCGCGCGGGGAGGATTGCAGCCGCAGAGGCCATGCAATCCTCCTATAGCAGCAGCCTTTGTAGCAGCAGAGGCCATGCAATCCTCCTATAGCAGCAGCCTCTGCAGCAGCAGAGGCCATACAATCCTCCTATAGCAGCAGCCTCTGCAGCAGCAGAGGCCATGCAATCCTCCTATAGCAGCAGCCTCTGTAGCAGCAGAGGCCATGCAATCCTCCTATAGCAGCAGCCTCTGCAGAAGCAGAGGCCATGCAATCCTCCTATAGCAGCAGCCTCTGTAGCAGCAGAGGCCATGCAATCCTCCTATAGCAGCAGCCTCTGCAGCAGCAGAGGCCATGCAATCCTCCTATAGCAGCAGCCTCTGCAGCAGCAGAGGCCATGCAATCCTCCTATAGCAGCAGCCTCTGCAGCAGCAGAGGCCATGCAATCCTCCTATAGCAGCAGCCTCTGCAGCAGCAGAGGCCATGCAATCCTCCTATAGCAGCAGCCTCTGCAGCAGCAGAGGGGCTCCAAGCCTCGTATGGCCTTGAGGTGTGTCGGGAGGAGATGACTCATGAAACCGGGAGGGAAGGTGGCTGGCAGGACAAGGACTTAAGAAAAAAAAGGGATGATAGAAATGAGGAGCTAGCTCCTGCAGGGAGGACGGCAGTAGGATGAGCAAACCAAAAATGTGTAACGGTGAGCGTTTCTCAGGCAAAGGTGAAAATTAATGGACAAGCCCTCACCATTGGCCATGTCGATGGACTCAACATGCTCCTGCAGCTCCTCCAGCATGCCGGCCATTTCCTCCACCATGACTCCCTGCGCCAGCAGCTCCTCCTCACCTCAGAGAAGAGGAGTCCTCTCTTTCCATAGATCATAGCCCTAAGCCAGGAACACACTCGTACCATTGGCCATATCAATCGACTCCACATGCTCCTGCAGCTCCTCCAGCATGCCCGCCATCTCCTCCACCGTGACTCCCTGCGCCAGCAGACCCTCCTCAGTGACTGCCATGACCATGCTGATTTCCTTCATCCGCTGCACTATGTCCACCACCGCCGCCTGCATGGCTTGGTTGAACCACTGCCGCTCCTCGTCGCTGGAAGGACGGACGGACGGACGGGAGGAAGGATGGGAGGAAGGACGGACATGAGAGAATGGAAGTAAGGGAAAAGAAGAAGAGAGGGAAAAGAGCAAGAGAAGGGGGAGCGAATAAGTCCCTCCTCGGTGACTCCCGTGAACATGCTGATCTCCTTCATCCTCAACAAATTCAAGTGGTTCCAACTTGAACCCCACTCACGTGATCTGCCGAGCGGGGCCAGTGCCATCGGAGTGAGCGAGGCTCCACTTGAGAATGCCCTCGAGATTGCCGCCAGGCCCCATATTTGGCATGCTGCCCGAATGCTGTTTGAATGCTGCCCGAACGTTGAACGAAAACTGCCCGACACAGCCCGAATGCTAAATGTTGTCCGAATGATATCGACGCTCTCGGATCCGAGATGATGCGCGCGGCCTTTTAGCGCCACGCGGCGAACGAATCAATCCGAGACGTCTCGAATCGCGATTCGGCGTGACGGGCGAAGGAAGGAAGGAAGGCTCGATTGCAGGCAGCGAAGTCGCGAAGCGGAGAGGGACTTGTGAGTCGACTCAAAAGTCAGGCCGAGGAGCGGCGAGGGAGCGCGCGTGACGCGAAGGAATCCGGAGGAGAACGAGCACGAGCACGAGCACGAGCACGAGCACGAGCAGTTGGTGCTTTGAGAAACACGGGATTGGCCAAGAAAGTGGAAGATAAGGGAGGAGACGATACCAAGGCATGAAGGCACGGCTGCTCTGGTGGATATCCTACAGCTGCGCTCGAATAAGTAGGATTCTGCTTTCGTAGACGCGTGAAATGTGGCACGAACAAGCCGAATCTGATCAAGTTATGGGAGCGCAAGAACGTCTAGTGTGAAGAATTTTATCCATAGAAGTTAGAAGAATCTTCTCGATTGAAGTAAGAAGTATCTTCTCGATGGCGATGGGAGCACATTCCCGAAAAGTTTATAACAATTTATTTTAGCAAGCAAATCCTACCTCCGTGCGTTCATGCCGGAGTGGTTAACGGGACAGACTCGAAATCTGTTGGGCTTTGCCCGCGCAGGTTCGAATCCTGCTGAACGCGACATTTTGTCCTTCTTGTGGAGTACAATTTGAATGATCCTGTTGTGTCAACGCACCTGTTACGAGTGCAAGTGAGTGAACAAACTAGAATTGCACTATCTAAGCAAGAGTGCAATGAGCGAAGAATATATAGCGAAACTACAGTGTTAACGGTAATGGACTGTGGTTCTCGTGCGACGGGCCTGGGACTGAGGTAGGGAAAAAGTGTCGAAGCGGAGGCCCGGAGCGCGGGTTACCCGCCGAGCCGTGAGGTCGGGGTGCGATGTGCGAAGGTAGCCGGCGGATTGTCCATGCGAGAGTTGCGGGTGGTGACTGTGGTGCTACAATGATGTTGTTATGAGTTGTACTAAGAAGAGTGTGCGGAACACTTTATAAAAAGGATGAGAACTATAGAATGACGAGAATGATAAAGAAGCAAGAATTTATAGGGTCGAAACCGTGGTAGGCGAGGACCTCGGGACGTGGATGGGTTGGAAGTGTCGCGATTGGTGCGGGGTGACTCGGAAGTGGTTCGGGCCGAAGTGTAGGCCGAACCCAAACTGATGCGAACAGTTCGGGCTGTCCTCGCTAGGAGTAGCCTCTACAGTAATGAATTCACATTCATTACACTCTCCCACCTTCTAAATAAGGTGCCCTTATACGTAGGCGAGTCTTGCAGTAGCGTGAAAACTGCAGATCTCGGTTGAAACTGATCTGACGGTGCGGAAGCATGTTGACTTTCGAGTTGACGCGTGGCTGAGCGCGTTGACCAGGCGAATTTCAAAGAGTTGAGATGTCAGCCGTTGATACCGTAATACCCCGGATAGAAGCGCACCTGCGCTTATAATAAAACACTGTTTTTTGGGGGGGTGCGCTTATAATTGAGTCTGATTTATAAGCGCATGCGCTTATATAAAGGGAAAAATGAAAATCAATTTTGAACACACCATTGTGAAGCTCTCAATAAGGCGAATTCAACCGACCATGCACCAAGTGGGATCGTGCATGGTTTTCAGGCAGAAACCGCAGCAGTTCGGTTTCCCACTGTCAGATTATCATAGCTGATGCATGTTTGTAGGCTATTGTGGGGTAGCACATATGGGGTACAGCTTTCTAGGGTTGTATTTGTACCCAACTCTGACTTAGCCATTTCATTCCTGTTTTTCCTTGCTTCACATGGTATAGAGCGGGTCCTGCCTTAGGACCGTTTTTTTTAGGGCCCACCGAAGCGCGCCCCGAGGCGCGCCCTTTTTTTTTAGCGACCCCTCGGGTCGCCTTTTCCCTCGCGGCCCCGCTGTCCCTCAGACGCGGCCCCGCCACCTCTCCTGAACGCGGCCCCGCCGCCTGCTTGATCGCGGCCCCGCCGCCTGCTTGACGCGGCCCCGCCGCCTCCCCTGACGCGGCCCCGCCGCCTCCCCTGAAGCGGCACCGCCGCCTCCCCTGACGCGGCCCCGCCTCTACTGCCGCGGCCCCGCCGCCGCCTCTGACGGCCCCGCCGCTGCACCCTACGGCCCGCCGCTGCACCCTACGGCCCGCCGCCTCTGACGGCCCCGCCGCTGCACCCTCGACCCGCCGCTGCTCCTGCCGGCCCGCCGCCTCACCTGACGGCCCCGCCGCTGCTCCTGCCGGCCCGCCGCTGCTCCTGCCGGCCCGCCGCTGCACCTGCCGGCCCGCCGCTGCACCCAGCGGCCCGCCGCTTCACCTGACGGCCCCGCCGCTGCACCTGCCGGCCTGCCGCTGCACCCTACGGCCCGCCGCCTGCACCTGCCGGCTCGCCGCTGCACCTGCCGGCCCGCCGCTGCACCTGCCGGCCCGCCGCTGCACCTGCCGGCCCGCCACTGCACCGGTCGACCCGCCGCTGCACCTGACGGCCCCGCCCCTGCATCTCCCGGCCGAGCCGCCCCAGCAGCCGAACCGCCCGGGAGCCGAGCCGCCCAACGCCGAGCCGCCCTGCCGCCGAGCCGCCCTGCCGCCGAGCCGCCCGGGAGCCGAGCCGCCCTGCACCCGAGCCGCCCAGCCGCCGAGCCGCCCGGGAGCCGAGCCGCCCTGCGCCCGAGCCGCCCAGCCACCGAGCCGCCCGGGAGCCGAGCCGCTGTGCACCCGAGCCGCCCGGTCGCTGAGCCGCCTTTCTGCATAGCTGCACGACCTGCCCTGCCTGTTGAGCACAGTCCCACTGTCACTGCGAGCTCTTTCCCTACTGCTTGCACTGCGTCGCTGTCGCCGCCATGGCTACCCCTAGTGTCCTAGCTTTTGACGCTGAGGGTCGCGCCATTGATTTTGAGGTCTGGTTAGACGACCTGCAGCTGTTCTTACAGTGCGACAGGGCTGACGACCTTTCTCTCTTTGACCTCACCTCTGGCGCCTCTCCTGCCCCTGCTGCTGATGCTGATCCCGCTGTCCGCTCTAAGTGGGCCACCCGCGATGCTGCTGCACGTCTTGCTGTGCGTCGCCACCTCCCTACCTCTGAGCGTGCGCACTTTAGTCAGTACAAGAGTGCTCAGACCTTGTACGACGCTGTAGTTGCGCGCTACTCCTCCCCTGCCACTGCTGCACTGAGCCGTCTCATGCTTCCCTACCTCTTTCCTGACCTCTCTGCCTTTCCCACTGTCGCTGACCTCATTACACACCTCCGCACTAGTGACACTCGCTACCGCGCCGCCCTTCCTGCTGAGTTCTGCGCTAAGAACCCCCCCCCCATGTACATCGCTCTCTACTACGTAGTCGCGCGCCTCCCTGACTCCCTTCGCGTCGTCAGGGACCACTTTCTTGCAGTCTGTCCCACCACCCTCACCGTCGACCTCCTCGAGAAGGCCCTCCTCGCAGCGGAGAAGAGCATAGTCGCTGTAGGTGCTTCTCGTGGTGACCCTCGCACCCCCATCTTTGAGGGGTGCTCTCCTTCCCCCTTGCTGCCCTCTGTTGCCTCTTCTGCTGCTGCCGACCTGCTTGGTCTTGAGTCGGTCGGCGCGGCGTCTGCCCCTAGTGGGAGACGTCGCTCCAGCAAGGGCAAGGGGGGCAAGGGCGCGGGTGGAGCTGGAGGGGGCGGTGGCGGTGGCGGCGGTGGCGGCGGAGGGAGTGGGGGTGGCGGCGGGACTAGTGGCGGAGGTGGTGGTGGTGGTGGCAGCAGTGGCGGAGACGGTGGTGGTGGTGCCAGCGGTGGTGGTGGAGGCAGCGGCGGTGGTGGAGGCGGCGGAGGTGGAGGCGGTGGAGGCGGTAGCGGAGGAGGCGGTGGTGGTGGTGGAGGTGGAGCTGGTCGAGGTGGTACCCAGTAGCGTAGCGGCGGTGGTGGTGGCCAGCGCTCGCAGCGGCAGCAGCAGCAGCGCTCGCGGGACATCCCTCCGCCTCAGCAGCTTCGTGAGTGGTATGCTGGGCGTCAGAGGGGTGGGGGTACTGGTCCCTGCACCTACGTTCTTCGTTCCGGCGACCGCGCGGGTGAGCAGTGTGGGGGTGCCCACGCCACCCAGCGCTGCTTTGGCCGCCTGACGGACGCTTGGCGTCAGCAGTTCCCTGGGGCTAGTGAGATCCCTCGCTGGGATGAGCTTCTCAGGGCTGGTCTAGCGATCTTTGATCTTGATTTTGATGCTATCCTTGCTGCTATGTATGTTGTGGATTATAGTGAGGAGAATGAGGGTTACCGTTGTTTCCAGCCCGACCCGGGCATTGGTACTGCTGCGCTAGGTGCTTGTGAGGCTGCTGCTCTAGGTGCCAGTGCGTCTGTGCTCTCAGGTACTGGTGAGACTGCGCTCTCAGGTACTGCGTCGTCCTCGTCCTCCCTCACTTTCACACTTGACTCCGGAGCTTCTCGCTCCTTCTTTCGAGACCGCACTACCCTTACGCCGCTCGGCCGGCCGGTTGCGGTCTCCCTTGCTGACCCCTCTGGGGGTCCTGTCCTGTCTCACTTCTCCACTGTCCTCCCGTGTCCGGCTGCCCCTTCGGGCACCCTGTCGGGTCTGTACCTTCCCTCGTTCTCTACGAACTTGGTGAGTGGAGCGGACCTGCAGGATGTGGGGGTTCACCAGTTCACTCCCGCGAGTCAGCGGGTGACCCACTGCACGGAGGCTCGTACAGGCCGACACCTGGCCACGTTCTCGCGTCGGCCGGGGTCGAGTCTCTACACCCTGACCGTTGAGTCTCCTCCTGTCCCTGCGTCTGGTCAGGTGGCTGCGTCGGGTCAGGTGCTTGCTGCTGCGTCCTGGTCAGGTCCTGAGTCTGCCCCCTGTTCTTGTCTCCTCCTGTCTCACGAGACT